AACCAATATTTTGCTCTTGAATGATACAAGAGTCTTAGAATTCTTTATCTCCAAATATGTCTTTTTCTATTTATAAGCTTTTGTTGACCATATTTTAGTTTTTTCAAATTAGGGATTATTAAAATTTTTAAATAGATTCATTTGCTTCTTTGTTATTCTCTTTTCTAACTGTTCTTTCTTATGTCTCAAACTTTTCTCTAGTATCATTTTCTTTCTGCCCGAAATACATCCTCTAGTGAAGGGCTATTATAGTAAACTTTCTCAGGTTTTGTTGTCTAAAAATGACTATATATAATCCTTATTTTAAAAAGATATTTTTTCTGGGCTTAGAATTCTAGGTTCAGTTACCTTCTCCTTTCATTTTAAAGATATTATCCTACTGTCTTCTGGTTTCCAATAGGTGCATTAATAAGTAAGCTTTTGATTTAAATATCATTTATTTGTATATTTTCAGAACTACAGTTAAACAAATATTAGGCGTATGACTCTCTCCTACATCTCTTTTTCATGTTTTTCAGCTCTTTGTCCCTTTTTAGTTTAGAGAACTATTATAATTTGCATTTCCAGAAATTTTCTTAGGTTCTTTTTCAACTCTTCTTGGTCTTTTAAAAACATCATCTCTTGTTTCTTGCTCATGTTCCCAAGCTTCTTTTTGGCTATGTAAACATATATAATAATTGCATATTCTGTGGCCAATAATTCCAGCATCTTAAGTGCTTGAAGATTTGTTTTGCTATCTGTGGATTACTAGCTGTCATTCACAGTGCCTTGTTTCTCTGTGATTTTTGTGCTTAACTATGAACTGCTTAATGCCCTTGAAACATTTTTATAGTTGTTGTTTTGTTTTGTTTGTGAGAAGTTTTGAAGCCTGGGTTGAATTTCTTCCCTTTAGAGAGGATTTGCTTTTCCTTCTGCAAATCACTTGGACACATCATCAAGCAAAGGTTAGCTTAAATCTAATTATTGAGGGTTTTAAAAAATATATTGCTATGATAGTTTGGTTACCATAAATTCAGGCTTATGCTAATAAATTATAGTCAGACACTTTTTTTTCCCTCCCAGTCAACACCACTGTCAAGAAAAGCAAGTGTCTGTGCATCCATTTTTAGTCTTTTTTTTATATATTGATCACTCATTTGGAGGATTTGGAGCCTTTGGGTTTATAGCTCTATTCTGATTTTCCTATTAGACACTTCACCTTTTGTGGGTTCAGGCTTCTTCCCTTGTTTTTCTACACCCTGTGCAGCTATCAGAGATGAATCCCAAAGAAGGAAGTTGTGTTAGAAATCCTTTTAACAAAACAGGATTTAGTGCTTGCTTACCTTCCTGGATTACTGTTTTCATTTATTTACTTATTTATTTATGGTTTCTATTTTTTTCTTTTTTCTTGAATTTATTGGGGGCGACATTGGTTAATGAAATTATATAGGTTTCAGTGTACAACTTTATAATACATCATCTGTATATCATATTGCGTGTTCACTACCCCAAGTCAAGTCTCCTTCCATCACCATTTATCCCCCTGTACCCTCTTCTACCTCCCCGCACCTTCTTCCCTCTGATAATCACCACGCTGTTGTCTGTGTCTATGCGGGTTATTTTTGTGTGTTTTTGTTATTTTTTGTCCTCTGAGGATTCCCTACTACTGTACCAACTCAGCAATGCATTTCAATACACACACACACACACACACATATTTATCAAGCATTTTAGTTCTTTTCATCATGAAAATAATTTCAACGTATATTTTATCATATTGCTGTCAAGAAACATTTTTAAAAATTGCTAAGTATGATATTAAATTTGTCTTTTATGGTTATGTCTAAATATTTTATGAATATGTACTTTAAACTATATACCAGCTAAAAGAGAAAACTGGTATGTATGATAAATCACTGGAGTTTAAGTTGTGGTTACTTTTCTTACTGGTAAAAATGGGAGAAAACCATTTCATTAGTTATTGGTTAAATAGTTATGATTAGATGGCTCTCTGATGGGCACTGTGTTTTCTGTCTGTGCCAGGGTTTGCCCTGCGTTCCGTAACCAGAGGTTTACTTTTGTGTCCAAACTTCTTGTCACTTTAACTTAAAAACATCTACTACTCACTGTCTAAACCAGCAGGAATTTTGGAGTTTGACTAACGCTGTGTATGTCATTAACAGATGGTAGTATTCATTTCATTATTTGGTAGATTGACATAAAACAAAAATGATCAAACTTTCAATGTTGCAAGGATGCAGCTTTAACAGGATAGAGTTCAAAAGCTTGGGGAAAACATAAATATTTATCACACTCTGCTTCGGTTGGGTATACACTGTGCATGTGAACCGTTTGTAATTGACTGAAGTAACCTGAGTATGCTATCAAACGCTTAGCATTTGAACACTCATAGTCTCATTTTGATGTGTATTTTACAACTTGGACAAAAGCTATATATGTACATATATCAGAAGGAAAATATTACTACAGTTTCATTCTCAAGTTATTGTGTAACTGGCACTCTAACATATGAGAATGAACATGAAGTTGGTATTGTGAGGCCCTTACTCTAAGGAAAACATGGACTTCTGCCCATACTGTTAGACAGAGCCCAGGAGTACTTTCATCTCACCGGTGGCAGTAAATCCTTGCTGTCTCTGAGAAAAATATGCGTATATATCATCCAAGGCAAAATGTGGATCTGGTAGGTGCGCCAGCCGTGAATTATCTCACAGACTGGTTATTGTCTTTTCCACTTGCATAACTTTCCCAGCATATGCCAATTATTATGCCAAAAATAAAAACCAAGCAAGGAAAGCATTAGAGCTGCAGATCCATTCCAAGTTCAAAATTCCAATTATCAAAGCCCAAACACAAGCCTTTTATTAAAAACCCCACTTTGATCTGCACTGTAATTGGCACACTTTCTACTCAGTGACACTGGCAATTTAGTATTGCATTTCCATTGTATTTCTCCTTGACTAGTAGTAACAGCACATGAGAACAAGCTGCGTGCCTTGCTCGGTGCAGACAGGGCTCCAGATGAGACCTTTGGACCCACCTCAGACTGGGGCTTCTCTGCCGTTTGGGGGCGTGGGCTCCACCCCTATTTCATGAAGGTTTCTAAAGACCAGCTTCTTTCCTTCCCTGCTCATCAAAATGCACCTGAATGATTCTCCAGCTGCCAATAGTTAGAGCTATTCTAAATTTTGTCAGGGGTGTTGGTAACATCAGACTGTGGTTTGTAAAAGTAACTTGGTTTTAGTTCTGAATTGATAACTAAATCTGATGACAATAAACAAAAGTGATTTTATGAAGTTTTAAATTTGGTAATATAGTGAATTCTTCATATAGAATATAAATATTTAATTTTTCTTAATAAAAGAATAGAAGCTATAAGATCCCCCCAAAATACTCAACCCCAAAGTTAGCATATTTCTTGGATTAGGTTGGTTACCTAGGAAACTGCTTCAGATATTGCACTAAGAACTGTGGCTTCCAGGCCAGATATCCAGAAACAGGGTCTTTCACCAGATGATAACATTTCTCTAACAGTCTGTGGCTATTAAATTTTCTCTTTCTAAATTCATATTAAATCTATAACTAGTGGTAGAGGGGAAGAGAGATGTAGGTACAACGCTGGAATTTATACCATCTGACTACAAAGAAACATTCTAAATGTGCACTATGTTATGTCTCACAGCGTCCCTATGAAGTCATTATTAATGTCCCCATTTCACAGAAGCGGAGACTCAGCTCTGTAGAACCTGAATAACTGACTCCAGGTCACAGAGTGAGTGGTGGTGGAGTCAGGGAATTTATCTAAATTAAGCAGCCAGGTTTAGGATCTATGCTTGGGTTCAGGTTTCTCGAACTCCAAATCAAGGCCCATTTAGCAAATCCCCATTCGATTGTATCTCTGACAGTGAGAGCCAAGTAAATCATCATAATAAAAATAACAATAAATTCAGTAAGAAAATTAGTTGAAAAGGGGGAAGAAAAGACAGAGTAGAAACCAAACAAGTAAATTATGTCAGGGGAGGAGTTTTGTTAATTTGAGGGAGAAACTTGAACATGGCACAACCCCAAGGGTCACTTTCCCTAGTCTGGTTGTGCTTTTTATACAAGTTGTAACAAATGTTATTGGATGCCTTCTGTATGCCGGACCTCGATAGGATGGTGTAAGAGGCAGGTAACCCTCCCCACCCTGCAGAACTAAATCACAAGGAGTAACTGGACTGAAGCAGGTGAACAAAGTACAGCAGGTGTTTGTGAGATTCCTGGGGGGGCTGACAGTGATGGTAGGGGGATGGGTGGCCTGGGAAGATCCCTGAAGAAGCACAGGAGTGGAGATTATTGAAGGCAGATGGAAAGGCATACATAGCAACTCTGAAATGAGCGTTTGAGGAACTGAACATTTATGAGTGTTATAACCAGAGCAGAGAGACCAAGGTGGAGAAGAACACGATGAGACTCCTGAGGTGGGAGAGGCCCTTCGGAGGTTAAAGATGCTGAAATTGGTCACAGTCGCTGTGGAAAGCCATTGGAAGGTTTTCCACAGGACAATGACAATGTCGTTTGTATTATTTAATTAAAAATGGGAACTGGGTTGTTGGGGAGACCAGGTAAGTGGCCAATGCAGGGGACAAGATGGGAAATTCCAGTGGCTTGGAGTGGGGCAGAAGCAGTGAAGATGGAGAGAGGTGATGCTTGAAAAGTAGATTTTCCAGGCATGGTGATGGACCAGTTATGGAGAGAGAACGATGATTTAAGAGACAGTAACCAGATTTCAGATAGTTTATAATTTCTTTCCCTCCTACATGTTTGAACCTGGCAGACACCTGCATGCTCTCACTTTTGTGACAACGACACCAGTCAATAGAGGAGGGAGGCCAGCCAACAGGGGGCTTTGAGGGACAGGTGAGCATGTGAGCACCTGAGTCAAAGGTGATTTGGGACTTCTTAAATAATAGCTGCAACATCAACTTCTTTTATTTTTTTCTCCCTGGGAATACAAATAGGAGAACTCACTGTGAAAGAACCCAAGTTTCTCGATTTTGAAGTCAGAAATGAAGTACGACTCATCGTTTTAGCTGAAAGCAGTGGGCATAGAGCCTACAGCAAAGTAGCCGTCTTGATACAAGATGTGAATGATAATTTACCACGCTTTGGTCAAAGCGTTTACCATGTGTCAGTGTCTGAAGGCCAGTTCTATGATGCTCATATCATACAGGTAACAGAAATACATTTTGTGTGCATGTGTGTGTAAATGTACATCAAAATATTTAGACCCCTTTTCCAGCACATGAATTAAAATTTAAATGTTTGCAAGGCATGTCCAATGCTTGATGGATGAATGAAACCTTAGGTTAAACAAGTTTGGAGTTTCTGAGTTCACTCTTCTTCCTCTGTTTATTTAGTGATCCATTTGTGCCCACTGCTTACTCTGGGAACTGTGTTGAACACTAGCAAAGAGTCTATAGGGACACACAAATAGACTCATCTTATACATGCATACAATTTAATAGGGAACTCAGAACTATATATAATTTAAGTGCATATAATTAATGTTGCAATGGAAGTGTGCATTTAATGCCACGAGAGAAGAGGAGACACAAACTCTTCCTGGTAAAAAGCACAGGACTTCACAGAAGAATGATTTTGTATTAAGTCTAAAGGGCATTTAGGCATTTGCTGGGAGGAGCCACAGCCAGACAAACATGAACTGAAGCACGGACACACGGACAAGCTTCCCGTGATTGAGATTTGCAAATGTTTTGTGAGTGAAAGGAACAGATCTGCTGTTTTCAGGCGTAGCCCCATGTCAGGAAGATGCTGCAGGCGCTGGGAGAGAATCTGCCCACCAGGCAGTGTGGATCAGGCTCTAAATCCCACTATCCTCGGTAGCCTCTCTACCTGTTTAGGAAGAGTGCCCAGTTTTGCCTTTCCCCACATCATTGAATTGATGCTTCGTATTGAAGGATCTGGACATTAAGAAACCTACCATCTCTTGGGAATCTTCGAAGGAAATCAGTATAAAACTGCCTTCCTGAAGTCAGCAGCAAGTTAGGACATTCCCTTTGGCTTCTGTAATCTCACTGCTGTGACCCAGAGTTGAGTGGCTACTACACCTTTACCCCTCTGGCCTAGGTGGAGTTAGGGATCTAAATGACACATTAGTGCACTTTCTGGACAAGACCTCCAAGAGTTCTTCACTGTGCAGCCACCTTCACCTGAATATTCAGAGAGAAACCTTGTTTTGACTTTCAGTCCGGTTCCTGGTGCACACGTTCCTCCCTTTTGGTGCAAAGAAAACCAGTAGAATCATAGAATCTTGGGACTTTTACTCTGGCATCAGCCATGACATTTAAGAAGAAGGTGAGGACATTAGCTTTTCCAATATGTATTTTTTAAGATCTTTTATTGATTTTGAGAGAGAGAGAAACATCAGTGTGGAGCAAAACATGCATCGACTGCCTCCTGCATGCCCCCTACCAAGGTTCAAGCCCTCAGCCCTGGACATGTGACCTTGACCAGGGATCGAACTGGCAACCTTTCAGCCAGGGCAGCTTTTCCAATCTTTATCACCCCTGCCCAGTGATGCCTGTATGGTGGGGATGACAGGTGCCTTCTGTGCCACTGTGGGGCGCCACTGTGCTGTACTGCTTTGTCACGTATGCTAGCACAGCCACACTGCTCGGGGTGGAATACATGAAGGTGAAGATGCCTTTAAAGCCCAGGTACACCAAACGGGACAGCCAAAGCCACCAGTGCTTTAGGTTATGTTGAACTTCCAGAAGACGGAATCAGGGACTGATTCAGTGAACTTTGTTCTTTACATTTTTAGATCATTTGTTTCCAGGAAGCTAGAGCTGCCATTTTCCTCTTCTCGCTGACGTAAACAGAAAGTCTCTGGGTTCATACCACTTGCAGTAGTTACTTCTTGCTTTTCACCACCACCCCGCCCGTGTGCCCTCCTTTTGGGTCCAAGCTCACAGACTTCCCTTAGGAGAGCTGACCCTGCTCTGTGGGATGCAGTCTAGGGGGGATTGTCAATCAAGGTAGTGATGTGCCCCCACCCCACCTTGCCTCAGTCTTACAGAGACTTCCTCTCCCTGGAAATTGAAACTTGAGTGACGGGACAGAGATAAGTTAGAGCTCATTTAGCTTGATGATAACAACTCGAAGCCACCCCCAGAGTTGTCCAGGTTCTTATGCTTCACCTGGGCTCTATCTTTCTTATGCATTTTTTCCTGGTGAAGTTAGCCATAATGGATATGTATTGCTGGCATCCTAAAACCCTAACGGATGTACCTCCTGGGAGGCCTACTCTGGAACACTTTTAAGTGTATGACCCCAGGGGACACGATAGACTTTCTTCTGCCCAGATACAGATGAGTTTCTCTTTCTGGTGATTCCAAAGGGAACTGTGTATTGCAGTCTTTCTGTACCAAATAGCTGGCTGTGTGCTCTCCTGATGATGTCCCGGCCATCCCACTCGGCCACTCAGGATCCCCTGAGAACTCTGGCAGCAGTGTGTGAAGGACAAGTTGAGAGGGTGGAGAAATAGAAGCAAAAACTCACTAGGATATCAGTGCAGTTACTCAAGAGCGAGATGACAGACATAAGCTCAGGCCAGGGCTGTTGGGCATAGAGAATAAAAATAAGTTTAAAAAAAATTAAATTTATCTGTCAACTTGTTCACAAACAAGACCTTGAATTCACTAATGGTTTTGTGATCAAAATGTAATACAGACTAAATAATACATCTCCCTGGAGACCACTGCAAAACTTTTGTTTGTCCTCAACACTATTTTGGTAACTTGTCACATAAATCATCAGGGGGTAAAGTTGTTAGCATTAAATCTAAACTTTGTTTCATCTATTTAAAGATCCCTTTTTTAAAAGACTCTCAATATAATATAAAGAACCCCACACATGGCTCCCTTTACTGGCAATACTTTAAGCAAGAAATAAAAAAACAATGGTAGATTCCCATTCACTATGTGGAGGCTTCCTCTATCATTTCTTTCCTTTTCTGGGGCTAGCCTGAATCCACATACAGCACTGGAAGCTTTCTATTCAAGCAAATTGGGTTTTTTCCAACTATGTTTTCCTCTTGTCTAAAATTGTAGCTCTAAATACGTTGGGCTCCTACTGAAAGTTACCAGGAAATCCTTTGAATGGGAGCGCAGGCTTGCTTCCTAACCTGTTACCCACTTTATTGTGAAGTGAAATGTAAGCTTCAGCAGTCTGTCGGTGTTGCTTTGATCATTGGTTTTTAAATGTGTTTGACCATCTGTGATTCCTTCATAAAGCACTTGTCTGAAAAACAGACTTGACCCATGTTGCAGATTAAATTCTTATCTAACGCAAGAGTTGCTTCCCCACAGGTTTTAGCCACTGACCTGGACAGCGGGTTGAACGGCCTCCCTGAGTACTCCATCCTCGCCGGCAACCAAGGACAGGTGTTCCACATCGACGCCCTGAGCGGCGTGATAACAGCACAGGGCCTTCTGGATTACGAGTCCACCAGCTCCTACAGGTTTGTCCCAGATTCCAGTCCATTTGGCCAGCTGTCTGCTTTGTTTCTGACAATACTATTGTTGCTTTGAGCTTGACTTCCTACTATACAAGCTTAGTTGTAAAATGTGTTTTCCCTTTGATCCAACGTATGATCACCCTTTTGATATATTGGAAGAGCCCTAGAAAGTATTTGCAGTGTTGCAAAGATGATTAGAACTAGAACTAGATTAGACAGAGCTCTGGGACATGTGGCTCCGTGGATGAAACAGGGCGTATCGTGCTCACGCCGCAGGCTCTGAGCAGCGGCCCGCTTAGCCGGACGGCGGCGGGAAGAACGTGGAAGAAGCTGTTAACCTTGTCGCTGGAGAGGTGGTCATGGGGGCAGTCAGGGGTCAAAGAGACGCTTGACTTTCTTATTACTTATTTTAATATGCTTCATAGTTTTGTGACATTTTCTGTGTGTTCTTCCCAAAGGCCTTGCACATACAGTGTTTCCCTTAATCCTCCCAGTCACCTTCCGGGGAGGTTAAGGTGCGCATTTTCTTACTCACTGAAAAGACAACAGAGGAAGACAAGTAGGATCTCACTCACACGCGGAATCTAGTGAACAGAATAAACGGACGAGCGAAATAGAACCAGAGACGTGGAAGCGGGCAACAGGCTGAGGGATCTCAGGCGGAAGGCGGGTGGGGGCGGGGGGAGATTGACCTAGGAATTTAAGCACAGATGTGCGTAACCCACGGACACAGACAGTGCAGTGAAGGCCTGGGGCGGGAGCGGGGTTGAGGGGATCAACGGGGGAAAAGCAGGGGACATCTGTAATACTTTCAACAATAAAGATAAATAAATACAGCAGGTGGAGTGGATTGCTCAGGGTCACAGAACCACTTAACATTCAAACATGGACTTGCAGCTAGGGATTCTGAGTCTGAGTCACAGTGTTTCCACTGTACAAGCTACAGAGCTGACCTGTTTCAGGGGAAAACAGGTATACAGAAGACCTGAGTGTCAGTATCCTCCTAGGCTCGGCTACGTTCATGTTTGTGAGGAGCGTGCAGGATGTTCCTGTAGCTGAGCTGGTTAATGAGATCTGTTACTAGGAGGATTGGACTAATTAACCTCTGAAAAACTTCCCAACTCTAATAAAAGTATAAGGGTTTAAATATTTTTGTTTAATATACTTCAAAATATTACTTCAAAAGTATTTTAAAAGTTTAAGACCTTACCTTGTATTAACTAGTCGAATTTTTTGGTAATATCTTATAGTCATCAATTGTTGTGATACTTTTGTATAAATATATTAAAACTTATTGCATAAATATGTTAAAACCTCTCCTGGCCACATTGTTGCTATAGCAATTTTAAGCATTAAGCTTTTTTTCTCTCTCCATAGATGACTGCAGGTAAATCTCAGTCTAGTTGCCACCTGGTATGATTACAAATTCAGACATTATCCAATGTCAGCTGTGTTCCAGGAACTAAGCATTTCCTGATTGTAGACTCTCTGTTACGAAGTGCCTCTTACTCAATGGAGCCTAATTAGCCATTAAATCTAACTCCTTCCAGTTTTTCCTATGTGCTATGTGCGTCATAGTTTCAGTGTTCCCAACATTTAAATTGATCCCAGTGTTTAAAAGTGTCCCTCCCCAGGTCTCCATAAAGAATTTAACTCAAGGCTGGAAGAACTGAGAGAAGTCAAATTCTACACATACAGCCACAGAGAGATACAGACGCACACATACACACACACACAATCTCCAGTATCACCAAGGCAAGGAAATATTTTAAACCTCCTGTATCTCTCTAGGTTTGGGGCCTCCCCTTCTCCCTGTAGCTTCTCTTCCTCTTTAGTGCTCTTTCTGATATTTAAGGCAGTGGGAAATAGAAGATGATTTCCCCCTAGCCTATTTATATGTCCAGTGATATACCTCCAGTGAATGCTTTGGGAAAGGCGTCATTTAGCTTTTACCTTTACTTTTGAACTATTGTTATTTTGTCTGATTGAGGAAAATAGTCTCAATTTCAATCCTCTGTTTTACAGGATAAAACAAGGGGGAAAATGGTATTGTTGGTTATGATTCTGTTCAATATAAATGCATTAAATAAAAATTAAACAAGTTTTCACCCTCATCTTAAACCACATATAAGAAAACTCAGTAGAAAAATGATAACAAATTATAAGACAGACCTTAAGTTCTGTCTGACTGATATTTCTGAATTTTAAAAACTGTTTGCTGAGCTTGAGATATAAAGACATATGAAACAGTTCTTGTTTTCAGGGAGCTCAAACATTGAGTGCCTGTATAATCCATGGCAGGAAGCATAGTAACAATCACAGTAACTTAGGGAGCACCTGCACTACATGTTGATTTCTCACAATAGACTCAAGATTTACAGAATAAGGAAACTGAAGTTCACAGAGGTAAGATTTGCCAAGATTATGTAGATAGTAAACGATAGAACCCAGATTCTTGTCCACTCAAGTGGTTGTAGTAGGGCTTCCTATTGTATTATGTGAATGAATCTTAAAAGTACACACCTGCCCTGGCCGGTGTGGTTGAGTTGGATGGGCATCATCCCGTGCACCAAAAGGTCGGCGGTTGGATTCCCATTCAGGGCACATGCCTGGGCTGTGGGCTTGATCCCCAGTAGGAGGTGTGCAGGAGGCAGCTGATTCATTGTTTTTTTTTTTCTCTCTCTCCCTCTCTCTAAAAAAAAAAGAAAAGAAAAAAAAATCAATAAAAAAATTTAAAAGCACACTCCTGTATATTTCTAAAACACAAAACAGAAAGGAAAAAAAAAATAAGTTCCAGCTTGTAGTTGTAAAATAACACATCTAGGTATGAGCATTCAAAATTCTATTTGAATCATTTGAAGGTGTTTCTGCTGCTTGACTTATAACTGAAGAGGAGAGATTTATTGCCGTTTAAGNCTCCTGTATATTTATAAAACACAAAACAGAAAGGAAAAAAAAAATAAGTTCCAGCTTGTAGTTGTAAAATAACACATCTAGGTATGAGCACTCAAAATTCTATTTGAATCATTTGAAGGTGTTTCTGCTGCTTGACTTATAACTGAAGAGGAGAGATTTATTGCCGTTTAAGTTGATGATTGAATATTCCTGGGAGCATCGTAACACTTCAGGGCCAAGATTTTTATTATCAAAGTAATACACTTTTAAAAAATCAAGTAGTATCATGGAGTATATCAACATATTAAGAAGTCAGCCACTCTTGCCTCACCCATCCCAACACTGAAGTCCCCAGAGACTGACATTTTTAACTGGCTTTCTCCATTAGTATAGACACCAATATGTCTTCATTGATCATTTTAAACAATCTCTCAACTTCTTGTTGTAATAGAAGTGCATTTAATATTTTTACTTTCTCTTATCCAATTCTCTCTTTACACTCATTCACTAGTTTTCATTTAATTAGTAATCAGTTTGCATTATATGATTCTATGAATGTTCACTTCAGAGTCATGTCATACTCATGTGTCTTCTCCCTGCTCCAAAGATAATGAGTTTGCTACATCCATGTATTTAATTCCATGTTAAGGCTCCAGGAGCTCTGTTGTGCCCACCCATAACCCCCC